AAACTCATTCCCTTCACGTGACCAGTCAAACAGGGTAATAACTATAAAAAGTCAATAAATATACAGTAACTTGCATAAAAGCGGGTTGTGATTTTTCACCACCGCCTGGCTACACTTCACGGACCCCTGGGGGTTTTCGGACCCCAAATTGAGAACCATGGACGTGTGCCTTTAAAGCAGTACTTTAAAAACCCTAGTACTGTAAAAAGTAGTACTCTAACAATTAATTAAAGGTAAAACAGTGGTTCTTAAGCTCCAATTGCATACCTTAAATCAGTTTGAAGGTGCATTATTTCCACATTTCTAGGTTAAAGATACATGTTCATGGTAGAAAAGATGTACTCTTGATTGACGGAACCACCTCAGGTTACAGTTAGTACCTTTTTTTCTGAGAGTGTATACTCTATGTAGTAAAATAGTGTATACTAAAATAAATAATTGTGCTATTTAGTGTCTTCTCCTTAAAGAGCTACACAGCAAGAAGCACACAGAAATCTTCACTACGCACAAAACACTTCACATAATTAACATATGTGCTATTAAATAAACTATTACACTGAATTATACAGTGTTCCTTAACACGATTAGCCTTAACTTAGATAACTAAATTATTTATGTGTTCAGTTAACCTCATGTGTCCCACAGCATTAACCCACAACTAATAGTGTTAGACTAATTCCTAGTCTTAAATTGTTAAAAATCAATGTTCAAATAATATGAAATGATTTACTGCAGTGTTGAACAGCACTGTATTTTAAGGTTTGTAGTTAAAATAATTGACACTGATATCATCGATTCCACTTTTACCGTTGATGTAACTCTCTGTGTTTATACTGTACGTGTTTATATTTGGACTAATAGAAATATTATATGTTTTAATTCAACACTAGAGTTTTTGCTGCATATGTATTATAATTTGTGCTGAATAAAATCGTATTGTGTTGAATTAACACCTGCAATATTAAATGTATCATTACAGTGTTTAGTGTTTATGTAACTGTTGTGTCGTATTAACACCTGCAATGTTCAACAAACAGTTACAATGTGTAGTGTTTAGATAACAGTTGTCTTGTATTAACACCTGCTGTATTAAATTAACTTTTGCAGTGTTTAGTGTTTAGGTAACAGTTGTGTTGAATTAACACCTACAATATTAAACAAACCATTACAATGTTTAGTGTTTAGATAACAGTTATGTTGTATTAACACCTGCAGTGCTCAACAAATCATTACAGTGTTTAGTTTTTTATTAAATGTATCATTACAGTGTTTAATGTTTAGTTAACAGTTGTGTTGTATTAACACCTGCAGTATTAAATGAACCATTACAGTGTTTAGTGTTTAGGTAACAGTTGTGTTATATTAACACCTGCAGTATTAAATGAACCATTGCAGTGTTTAGTGTTTAGTTAACTGTTATGTTGTATTAACACCTGCAGTATTAAATGAAACATTGCAGTGTTTAAACAGTTGTGTTGAATTAACACCTGCAGTATTAAATGAACCATTACAGTGTTTAATGTTTAGTTAACAGTTATGTTGTATTAACACCTGCAGTATTAAATGAAACATTGCAGTGTTTAAACAGTTGTGTTGAATTAACACATGCAGTATTAAATGAACTGTTGCAGTGTTTATTGTTTAGGTAACTGTTATGTTGTATTAACACCTGCAGTATTAAATGAACCATTACAGTGTGTAGTGTTTATATAATGGTTGTGTTAAATGAACACCTACAGTATTAAATAAAACATTGCAGTGTTTAGGTAACAGTTGTGTTGAATTAACACCTACTTACTGTGCTTACCGTGTTGTCTTAACTTTCTCCAGAGTTAAAGTGAAATAAAACTGAAATCTACATGAGTGTTTCAAAGAATTTTGTAACTGTCCCTTAGTGTTATAGACACTAATACAATACAATATTATATCAGGAAAAAAGTTTTGGAGATATTCTTGTTTTAATTTTACAGTTTGCCACTTCCAGAAAAGCAATAAATTTTTTTTATGATTCATATTTTTTCATAAATCTTCATGATTGTCCAATTAAATGCCCTCTAGAACCATATATGCCCCGCCCCCCGGAGGAGTGTCTTCCTCTATAGTAGCAGCTCACTAACAGCAAACATGGCTCTTCTGTGTGTTTTTTTGGCTGTACATCTTCCTGCACACTCTTCCCTTTTCCATCCATCACTTCGTTGTAGTAAAAAATGGTTGTAGTAGTTTATTTGTTTCTGAAGAGCGTGGAATTTGGATGAGATATGTGACAGCCGGTGTTCAGAGGTGTTCTATTGACTTGGGGCTTGGGGGAGTATGTCTCTTTCTCAGACTGAGCAAGAACGTGATTTATATGAATGTCTTTATACACTGTCGAGGATTCTCTCATTAAACTCTTCGCTGTTCTCCATATTTAGCTATCTCACTAAGCTACGGTCAGGTTCGTTTAGATTTAGCAGGGGTGTGTCATGGTGTATCTTGAACACTACTGGAGGTTGTGTAAGATAGTCAGGCACTTCAACACAACATCATTCTGACTTCCTGTTTAGAAGGAAATACATCAATGTACAGAATTAAACCACAGCTACGAAGCTGTGACTTTAATATGTGTCTGTTTGGACTAACACAAGCACTATAGGTTATTAATTGTAATTATGACACTGGAGCTCTCACTGCGTTTTGCCATTTGTGCAGCTTGTATTTCTACAGACGTTTGCTAATTTGAAGGATTTGTGAATAATGTCCTATTTAATCAAATGGAGCAATTAAATTATACTGCCACAGACGTGTTTATTTGTAGACAGAGGTTAAATCTGTATCCTTTCCTCAGAGCTTCTTAGTATCTTTAAGACATGATGTCACTTCCTAGTTGCTGTGTTCTTTGCTATATTTTAATGGTTATCATGTTGCATGAACTTAATTTGCTTTAAATATTACACTCTTGTCCAAAGCACAGGGAAAGACGTATGAAATGGAGTCATGAAGTGCACATTGGTACATGACCTCCTTTTAAAGGTCTCACATGCATAAGATGTTTCAGATATTCCCACCGTCCGTTTCACCCTGTCTGTAACTTTCAGGTGTTTCATACTCCCGTTCACTGTAGATTCACGGACAAGTGACCCTAAACGACGACTTTATCCAGGTTGTGTTTGATTTAACATATCGGGCTCTTGTTTTTCCCCCTGTGAGATACGAATATGTGATCTGGTAGCCTGGCATGCAGCGGAGCTTGGCATCATTAGAGCCGGAGATCTACAGTAACATAAGACAGAGCACAGAGGCACTCGCACATGGAAAAGGCATTCACCTGTTGCAAAATCGAGTCCTGCTGAGAAAGACGCTGCTATTTAGGCGCAGTAGCTCTTACTCGGGAAATGTAGATTGTCTAGGAAGGAGTGCTGATGCAATGAAATGTGAGCTGTGATTTCATTTAAGAGCAGGTTTGGGACAGTTTTTACTCTTAGCCCTTAGAGGTCTCTCTCACACTGCACACATCCTGTGCCCCAATGTGTGTGTGTGTTTTTTTTAAAATTTTTTTTTTACAGAGACCACAGAGCAGAATATCAAGTGTCTTCATTAAATATTTATATCAGGTTTATATCAGGTATCCTCATTAAGTATTTTTAAGTTCTGTACAGATACTTACTAAAAATTCTGTAAAAATTTTTAGATGTTAAAATTCTAAGCTTACGTTTTTTTTTAAAGCTTTGAAATTGGCTCAATTTGAAGTAAATCACTGGAGAATGCTTAATAAAAAATCTATCATAAACAGATCAATAAAATTTATCTTAATATCTTATCTCAAGGTAAGAAGCATTTCATAGATATCACAGAACAGAAATATGTGACTAGTTTATATCAGGTATCTTTATTAAAGGTGCATTAAGTAAGATTAGGTCTCTAATGGTTAAGAAGGTGGGTTCAATTTCTCACTTCCTATGTTTATGAAGCTCCACCCCCAGGATCTACAGTGACCTGTCGAGTAAAGTGTCTATAAAATGACTGACAGGAGGCGCATCCAAACACAAACAAGCATTTCCGACCGGAAGCTTTCTAAATGGGTTTTCTCAGCCACTTAATACACTTTTGCTGAGGCCACGGCTTAAATAATTATTTTTTATTCATCATGTCCTACATATTTTCCAGATTATTTGTACAAGTAATAAATAAAAAAGTAATATTGCACCTTTAGGTATGTGTATTTAAGTATTTGTAAAGTTTTTTTTTTAATTCTTAAAAATAGCTGATTTCTAAATTCAAAGTGTAACTCTTTAAGCTCTGAAATGGGCATAACTGTACATCAATAGGTAATACTAATTTCCTTCAGGATTAATAAAGTTCATGTTTTGTTCTCTTATCTGCTCTTATCTAGAGATAAGAAGCATTTTACAGTTTTTACAGATATCACAGAGCAGAATGTGTGACTAGTTTATATCAGGTGTCTTTACTAAGTATTTATATTTAAGTGTTTGTTCATATACTTGGTTAAAATTCTTAAAAATAGCTGATTTCTATATTAAAAGCTTAATCGTAATGGGCTTTAGTGTGTTGTTCTTTCGGCTGCTCCCGTTAGGCGTCGCCACAGAGGATCCCCTTCCATTGTCTGCATGTTGATTTGGCACAGGTTTTACATGGGATGCCCTTCCTGTGCTGAGAGTGCACTAGCCTGAGTACCCCGTGTGGCTGGGGTTGGCATCCAGCGCAGGGCTCAAACCAACAGTCCTGAGAACAAGAGTCCCATGCTCTAGGAACTGATTTAGCTGGGAGCCTTAATGAGTTTTAGTGTGCTCAATTTTAAATAAAAAACTGGAGAATAATTGTTGCTGTTCCTCTTTCGGCTGTTCTCGTTAGGGGTCGTCACAGCGGATCACTGGTCCGCATATTTGATTTGGCACAGTTTTTATGCTGGATGCCCTTCCTGATGCAACCCTCCCCATTTTATCCGGACTTGGGACCGGCACTGGGAGTGCACTGTCTTGTGCAACCCCAGTGGCTGGGCTCTGCTCCCTGGCTGGGAATCGAACCCAGGCCGTGGCGGTGAGAGCACTAACCACCAGTCCTCCAGGGACCCGAAACACTGGAGAATAATTAATACTCAAAGATTTTCCTTCATTCCTTTTCAAAATGATCAGTAAAGTTTCTCTTCTCTTCTCTTAATACTATTGAGTAGAAAACACAGAATGTGTGACTTGTATATCAGGTATCTTTATTAAGTATTTGTATATATACGAATATTAAGTATTCGTATAGACATTATTTAAAATTCTAAAAATGGCTGATTTCTAAACATAAAGAAGTAATACATTTTAAAACTTTGCAATGGGCCTAATTTTAAAGAAATGAATGAGAATACGTAATACATAAAAATGTAATAGCATTCAGTAGAAAACAAACGTTTTATTTTTTTAGACACCATTACTGCTTGCTTTAAACACATTGGCTACAAAATGATCATTGAGCTCCATGGTGGTTACAGAATATTGTAAGTATATTCTGCAAGAAGAAAACTGTCTTCTTGACATTTATAATTCATGCCAAAAAGCTTAAAAATTTATTATTACACTTTGCAGTAAAATGATACATTACAACAACATATGCTAACTGTGTAAAGGTGTCATTTAAAGGTGTATTGAAACAGGACTCCTTCTAGTTAAAAATTTTAACTACTTCCTGTTTTTTTTTTTTGCATTATCCACTGTAAAAGTGCAGGAAAAAATGCCCAAGTCTCAATTTAGGAAAGTCGATCGTGCACCTTCGCTTGCTAACTCAAGATTGTATTTGATCCACAAGCCAGAAAAGTGACATCACTGATAGGACTGGAAAAACTGACTGTTTAAATTTAGGTCTCAACAGAGAGACTGAATTATCTTTCACTTGGATCTTGGTCTGAATTATTTTTAATCATGTTGCCCTTCAGACGTTCCAACATGCTATTTAAAACACTGCACATGATTTTGACTAATGAATAATTTTGATTTTCCTTGCACAAAAATGTTAAGAAATCTTTGTATACAAGGACGTGTTCATTATCAGACTGTAGTGGGACTCTGTATGAGCGCTTTATTAAGGCGAGTGCCTTTTCCAGTTACATCAAGACAAACATTTCACATGAAGTGTGGCGTGATGGACACTTTTTAATAGTTTGTGATTTGAGACACAGCTTGTAAAAGCTAAGCACTAGACAAATTGGGCTCAGAATTGCAGGAAGACATGAGAAAGGTAATGAGAAAAATGGCAAGGAACAGGTGAAAACAGACAAGGATCAGGCAAGGAAGCTTTTCAGTGGTGCTTATTTTAAGATTAGATTAGATTAGATTAGAATATAGGCAGAATGGTGGTGCAGCTCTGGTTACTGTCTGTATGGAGATTCTCTGTGCACGTTCTCCCCGTGTCCACGTAGGTTTCCTCCAGGTTTGTCCGGATTCCTCTCACCTCCCAAAAACAAACCCCGTAGACCAACATACCAACAGTCCAGGACAAAACACTGACTTTAAGATGAAGATGAATGAATGAAAAGAAATAGAATAGTGTAACCAAAATGTAAAGAATATAACAAAAAGGAATAGATAGATAGATAGATAGATAGATAGATCACTTTATTTATCCCAGAGGGAAATTCACTTATTACAGCAGCACAGGGAGTTAGACGTATACTCAAAGTCATTTAAAATAAAATAAGAATAAATATATAAAAAAAGAATACAGTGTAAGAGTGTGAGAATGTGATGTGGTAGTGTAGTGGGGTGTAAACATTGTAGATATAAGCAGCAGACGTGAGTGGAATTAAAGTGGCAGTGCAGTGCAAACATTGTAATAAAATAATAAAGCAATAAAATAAACAGGGATATACGGTATTGTATAGAGTGAATATGAGAAAAGGAAAGAAAAGGGAAAAATGAATAGAAGTAAAGTGCAGTGCTTGTGGATATGAATAGTGGAATGGTGGTAAAGTTCAGCTCAGGTCCAATGAGCTAATATTAAGAATAGAAGAGAATAAGAGAAAAAAAAGTGTAGAAATAACATAATAGTGAATATACGGAAAGTAGATTTAAAATTAGTTTTGTCTCGTTTGGTATCCGCTGCGTAGAGGTACACTATATGGCCAAAAGTTTGTGTACCCCTGACCATCACACCCATACGTCCTTGCTGAACATTGCAGTTTTAATCCCCCTTTGCTGTTATTATAAGCTCCACTCTTCTGTGAACGCTGTCCACTAGATTTTGGGGCGTGGCTGTGGGGATTTGTGTTCATTCAGCTACAAGAGCATTAGTGAGATCAGGCACTGATGTTGGTGAGGAGGTCTGGGGTGCAGTCGGTGTTCCAGTTCATCCCAAAGGTGTTCAGTGGGGTTGAGGTCAGGGCTCTGTGCAGGACACTCGAGTTCTTCCACTCCTACCTTAACACACCATGTCTTCATGGAGCTCGCTTTGTGCACAGGGGCATTGTCATGCTGGAACAGGTTTGGGCCTCTTAGTTCCAGTGAAGGGAAATTGTAATGTTACAGCATACAAAAACATTCTATACAATTGTGTAGAACCACATATGGGTGTGATGCTCAGGTGTCCACAAACCTTTGGCCATATAGTGTATAATAATGAGAGATACATCATAATGACTATGCTGCAAATTTGCAGTATAGACATAAATACATAATATGATGCCCAACTAGATCAGTTGGGTGTGAGCCCCATGCTGGGTGCCAACCCCAGCCACTGGGAGCGCATGGACTAGTGCACTATCAGCACTGGTCCCAAGCCTGTATAGATGGGGAGGGTTGTATCAGGAAGGGCCTCTGGTGTAAAACCTCTGCCAAATCAATATGCGGACAATGGAAGGTGATCTGCTGTGGCGATGCCTAATGGGAGCAGCCGAAAGAACAACAACATAAATACATAATACTTAAACAGACTTAGTAAAGAAAATACATCTTGTATTGTTCCAGTGGTTGCATTAATTTGTCATTAATTTGTCTAGGTGCTGTAAATAACAAATCAGGTCAAATGCAGTGTTATTGTTGTGCAGTCTGTATATACAGATGGTGTAGCGCAGAGGATAACACAGTGACAGTAAAACACTACAACACTGCTGTCATGTACACAGTCACAGGATGTGAGCCTGCGAGCAAATCCCCACTGCAATGCTCCAAACACTGACCTCACACACGAGTGAAGGAGAGCCAGACACACGCAACATGAGCTGAAAGGTTGAGTCTGAAGATCTCTGAAGATCCCATACTCGGCTTGGAGAGAGAGAGACAGAGAGAGAGAGAGTCAGTGTGTTAACTCATTCTCTCCCTACATCTCACACACACACACACACACACACACACACACGCACACACATGCACACAAACAGAGTCAGAGCCAGGGGAATTCTCTTTGATGTTGTAACTAGGACAGCAATTAGGAGAGGAATTCTCTGTTTCCATGTCTCGGCCCAGGGGAGCCAGAACTGCATATACTGTGTGTGTGTGTGTGTGTGTGTGCGCAAATAGAAAAGTGAGCTGATGGTGAAGATGGAGCTGATAAAATGTGTGTTTTAAGGATTGTCATTCAGCCTGTAGAGCTGTTTAACTGTAAAAAACAAACAGTTTACACACACAGTACCCCCCCATGTAATGATGGCAGTGAAATCAGCCATTTGTACGTGTGATGGCTGTAAATACACAACCTGTGATTCTTAGTTAATGTGATCTTTGTAAAATTGCATATTCTGACAAAATTTAATTGCAGATTTGCAGATCTGATTATGTATTTGCGATTAATTAAAATGACCATTTCATCATTTCATGCCATATTTTTTACTCTTGGACAGCATGTACTGGCAGAGTGCAGCAGGCTGACCGAGTGTGTGAGGTGTGTGAAGGGTGTGTACACCAATCCCCTGGGTTCTCATTAGATTGAAACCTCAGGCTGGAGCTTCTTACTTATGTTAGCATCTGTCATCAGCATGACTTCCTTTATTGCCCTCAGAATGACTCTTCTCCAAGAACACACTGAAAAAAAACCAAGAAAAGGCTTGTGTGATATGAGTGTATCATTCTTGTCTCAGATGCCAATGACTCCATGTGCACAAAGTGGAGAAAACAAAATGGATACTGTGTGAGTGAGAGAGATTTTTCTCAGAGTGAACGCTGGTCAGACGGACAACTTTCACAATGATTTCTGTGTTGGACGATTGTTTTTCTTCTTGTCTCCCAGAATGTGACATTTAAGAAATGAACAGTGCTCAGTGTGTATGAGTCGGGTTCTGGAGATTCTTATGGAAACTCTGAGGAAGGGTCAAACAGTGTTATTGGGTTGTTTTTGTGGTATAGTTTCACGCTCTAATCATGTATATCTTATATACCAGTCGCTAGGTTTGCTATATGTGTGAGGCCTGGAAAAACCCTTCACATGGTGAAATGGAGCTGTCCTGAATTAAAAATATATTTCTTTTACCTGTAAATCAATCACTAGTAAATTTCTAGCATTTTCTCTCTGCATGTGGGTGTGCGATATGGCAGCAATATCATATTGTGATAGGTGAAGAAACCTTCAAAATACTCATCAAAATATTTCTGAATCTAAAATAAAACAGTAACAAACCAGTGGAGCCATATTAAAAAATCTTAATCATTAGGAATTACAGTATTTATTGTGGGGAAATGGGTGAAAGTTAAATAATGCTACACAAATAGATTTCATTATCCAAGCTGTTACTTGTTTCAGTGACTAATGATGACTCCTCTGAAGTCATTGTTAGAGTAGCTAATCCATACTCAACAAAAAGGCAGCAACAAGTCAAATAATCGGGTTTATGGAAACGGAAATGGGCTAGTAAAGCTCAGAAATGCACATAAACAAAGAATAAGACTTCGCAACTAGATAAAGGAAAAGAAGGATATAAAAGCTTAAGCTTTAAAAGCTTATAAAAACAAAAGCACATGCATTGCTCATGACCTTGAGACCTAACGATACTTACAATACTCAGATACTCGAGTGTATCAAGTGTCTCAATATCATATCTCCATATTATCCAGCTGTTTTACCGAGATTAAAGTCAATACATAAAGTGGTCATACTGAA